TCTCTCTTATAAAATATGAGTGTCTATGAATTTTGTTTCTCTAGTCTACCCAGATTAACTCACATGCTATGATGTTTGGACCACTCTTTGGGAAGTTCTACCACACCAGGTCCTGGGGCACATAAGCATACTGTGAAAGTGCTTTGTAAAGCAGACATAAATGTTAATTTAAGTTCTAGGACACTGACCATCCAATGGCCCCAAGAAACCCTCAAGAATATTCCCTGGTGCTGTGATCAGGACTAGACAGAGTGGGGTCAGAATTAACTTTGGTTCTCTTAAAAACATTTCTCCTCTCTTTGAAACTGGTAGCTTCTTACTACGCAGCAAAAGACGTAAAGGAAAGCGGAGGCAACCCTTCGCAGGTCTGCTAATAAAGGGCGTTGCCTGCAGAGACCGCCAGGCTACGGATGAAGCTGGCTCTCTGCTCCAGGAGACGCGGTACTTGTCCCAGTTCTACCACTAAGCCAGACAAATGCTTGCAGGGACACCTAACCACTCCAAGTTCCAGCTTCCTCCTCCGTAAGAAAAAGGGCTGGCAGATTTTGATTTTAGGTTAAAATTTGATCTCAGTTTTGAGAAAAAGCCTAAGGACAAAGCTGATGTTCATGACTTCACTATGGAGCGCCGCCTCCTTCTCAGGCAGTGCTGCCGTCACCGCTACCCAGGGGATGAGCAAACATCACCAAGTACCTTCCTGTAAGGCCTCACACTGTGATGAAAGTAATTTGACCAGCTTTGATTTTCAATTTGTACGAAGTTTAAAACTCAGAGAGATTTGGGAGTTCACGCTGAAAATATCCACCTTGGAGATCTGGGAAAGTCATATTGATGAACCGCAGTTTGACATGCTTTTCGGGAATGTACCAGCCACGGGTAGATGATCACAAGGAAGGCTTGGCTTTGCATGTTACAACATTATCAATGGTAAACAGGGCTTTTCTGCCCAGCCCAATACTCCTCGCTGTTTCTTTACTTAATGAGATTATACACAACACCATAAACAATCAGAGTGATGGGACCTCAAATGTCATCAGTCCAACTGAGTGACTAGGAAAGGAGCGAGCGAGGGAAGCATCTGCCCACGTCACCCCAACCGAGGGACAGTCAGCCGGAGCCTGGGTCGCGCTTGCACTCAGGGGGCCTGCCACTTAAAAACGCTTTGCCTGCTTTGCGTTGACTACTGAACAAGGAAACCATAGTTGCTGGGCATTCCATTTCCTCCCCTCTACGATGGAGCATTCTGGCTGAGGGCCACCCCTCCCTTTTCCATGCTTGGAGGAGAAACCTTTAGATAGGTGTTTGATACCTGGTCCCAGTTTAGGAGAAAAGATGCATTAGCTACCTTTTAACTTTGCATAACTCTCCTTGCAATTTACTCACCATATCTGAAGTTTAATTTTCTTCCCATCGAGCTCTATCGTCCGGATTTTAAAATCGATTCCTGCCAGAAAAAGAGAAAGATAGGCTAAGTTTCTTTTTTCGTTTTTTTTTTTTTAATTAAAAGATCATTTTATTGGAGGCTCTTAAAACTCTTATTACAATCCATACATTAATTGTATCAGGCATATTTGTACATATGTTGCCATCATTCTTTTCTAGACAAGTTTCCTTAACTATACTCCAGGGCCTCTTAGGAAAGGGACAAAGATTTCTATTGAAAAAAACGTAGAGAAAGCTCTCCAGCCCACTGGAAAATGTGACCACAGAGAGGGTGTGAATGGTATGTTTCCCTGGAACACAAGCTGCAGAAAGGAATGCTAATTACTCTGCAAAGAATTCCCACACATGTTAAATGCAACGTATTATATGCCTCATTATTTTGACAGAAATGGCTCATATCCCCCAAAGTTACATAATTTGGATACACTGATAACATGCCATATTTTCCACTTCCTGAAAGACATATTAAACAATGCTTCCCATCCCCCACCCCCTCCGTCCTTCCCTGATGAAGGCCTTGGGACTCTTTAAAATGTCCTTCTTCAACTTGCTCCACTTGATTCTTTAGAATCTGCAACTGACTAAGAACTGAGGCGGGTGGGGATGGGGACAGAGAGGAGGGACAGTCTACACGCTGATTATGCACAGTTAGCAAGTATGCTAGAAATGTGTTCATCAATGTTTCCTACAATTTACTGGCTAGAGCTAAAGTTGCTCATGTTTCTTAGTCCCAGCTGCATATGTTAAGAACTACTGCCTCAAAACTTCAGAGATTCAAAGATAGTCACTTAATAGGTGAGCTGGCTGAGTGAATTCTGACTCACAGGCAGAGTTGACTCTTGGAGGCAGAAAGACTGCGCTTTAGGGCTTTTGAGGTGGAACCTTTGCAGGAGCAGACAGCCTCCTCTTGCTCCCTCAGAGCATCTACTGGGTTTGAGCTGCCAACCTTGGGATGAGCAACCCAATGCTTATAACCTACTACACCAACAGAACACCTAGAGGGGTGCCCTAAACACACACCCCCACCCCCCAAACCCCAAACTGACTGCCATCGAGTTGATGGCAGCTCATAGTGACCCTACAGGACACGACAGAACTGTTGATAGGAGTAGAAAGTCCCACCTTTCTCCCCAGGAGCTGCTGGTGGTTTCAAACTATAGACCCTGAGGATCGCAGCCCAACAAGTTACCACTACACCAGTAGGACTCCCGAACATGTAATTTTTGAAGTTTCCCAGGAGATTCTTACCGCCAGCCAGCGCAGAGAGCCATTCACAGGCGGCCTGACAGGAAGCACACAGAGGTCAAGGGCTCTGGCAGTCAGAGCTTTAGCCCCTCCTGTGCCTGCCCCCCTCCTCGGGTAGCTCAAGCCTTATTCAGCCGACAATGCCCTTGGCAAACACCAGGGGGCTTCAAAAACGTTGTGGAAACAGACTTAGGTCATAGAAATGCTCCGTTGTGGGGGGTGGGGGTGGGAGGAGTAGGTCTCTAATAAAGGGCGTTGAAGAAAACTCTTCAAGGGGAGGCTGCTCTTTCCCAGAGAGCCTGTCAGGGAATGCCATTCGGTGCCTTTTGCTAACTCCTCATCAACTGGGGGCTCTGCTTTTAGATTCCGGGTGTTCTTTTGCATTCGAGAAGAAGCCCAGTGGCTTAAGGGTTACCTGTGGAACTCTGATCCGTAAAGTCAGCAGTTCAAAACCACCAGTGGCTCTGAGGGAAAGGATAAGGTTTTCTATTCTTTTGAAAGCCACAGGGGCAGTTCTACCTGGTCTTATAGGAAGCCATGAGTTGGCACTGACAAGATAGCAGTAAATTTAGGATTTTCCCCCCATTTGCAATCAATAAAGAAACCCTTGAAGTGGCTTCAAAGAGATTTTGAGAAAGCATGTAAATTAGACAGCCTTTAAGTCAACTCAAATACTAACTGCAGTTTCTCTCTTTGTGGTGGTGAGGGGCTTCCATAGTTATTTTACTAGAATCTTTCTACACAACAATGCCGAGAGTCACTGAAAAAGGCAGCTAGCTTCTCCCGGCACCTTCTATAAAGCGTAGGCAGGAGCCCTTACCACTTGTTCTCTGGGGGTGCTTTTCCATAAGGGAGCCTGCCTTCTCCAGCTCCACCGAATCCCAACATACACAACAACTGCACCCAAGCGAAGGTTGCAGATCAGCTTCTCAATCACCTCCCTCATCACCACGCATTGTTGGCGAATACAATCTGATACCCACTATCCCCAGCTTTCCCGGCTCATGTTCCCCTTTCAGCCCTGCAGGGGTCTGCCGAGGCAGAAACACAGTTTAGTAACACAGCACGCACAGGATTCTGAGCAGCGCATCATCCTCTTCCCTCCCTGCCCCCAGCAGAACCTACTGCCACCATCACCCACTGAAAACTTAGCACATGGATCCCCCAACCACTGCTGGTGGGAAGGCCAAATGGCACTGACCCTAAGGGAAAAAGTTGGCTGATTCTCCAAGAATTAAACCTAACAATTTCACTGGTAAGTATATACCCCAAAGCCTTGAATGTAGACATATGCAGACTGTGCTCAAAGCAGTATTATTTATTACAACCGCACAACCTGCCAGATGTGATGAACGCCACTGAGGTGTACACTGAAGACTGGCTGAAGCAGTCAATATGGAGCGAGAGATACTTCACTAACAAGAAAATGAATTATTACTCCTTGCGTTCCATTATGATTCATCTTTTAAGAGAACGCCAGATCCCAGGGTAACCAAGACACTCTCAGGGTCCCTCCTCCATCCTACATGGGTCTGACCTCAAGAACAATGCTCAACATCTAGCCACACCAAACCAAACCAAACTCACCGCCATCCGGCTGACACTGACTCAGCCACCCAGTAGGACGGGGTGGAGCTGCCCTGTAGCTTTCGAAGACTGTACTCTGTACAGGAATAGAGAGCCTCACGTTTCTCCTGAGGACCGGCTGGTTGTTTTGAACTTTGAACCTTGCGATCCCAGTGCAACACGTAACCACCATGCCACCAGGGCTCCTTACCAACACCTGGCAGGCTACTCAGTAAATGTTTATTGATATTAATATGTTCTTGAACATTCATGATTTTCGAAATGACTAGGTGGTCAATGTCCAACATTTCATTGTTTAATACAGTAAAACTTGTGAAACCCGGGACCCATGTGAGGCAGAAACCCGTCAAGAAGGAAAAGGCAAACAGTTTCCGCTACAGCGAGAGAGAAGAAAATGGGGAGACTGCATCCTGTCATAGACAGGACCCTTGGGACACCAGGGAAACAAGGCAGCCCAACGGGCCAGCTCGTGTGCATTTTACATCAAGAATGACGCACATCCAAATGCCAGGTATCACTTTCCTTAGGCTGGCTTATTACGACCGGAACTCCTGTCCTTTCAAGGTTAACTGGAGGAACGGGGAGTGTCAGCATCTTCATTCAACACACCATTCTGAGGCTTCCTTCAAAGTCTCTCACTCCCCATTCTTTCTAAAGGTTGAGGAAACCCTACTGACCCAGCCCCTCTGTTAGATGCCATTGCCTTTCAGTTATCTGGAGAAGTTATACCCTTATCTGTAACCCTTCACCATCTTTCCACCACTTACAGGGTTTTCAATATTTGCAAGAGATGTAAACTTGTATTTATCTCCTGTTTCATGCTGCTGTCAAGGCCACGTTAGCAGACAGATGCTATAGATCACAATCAGGTTCCAAAACATGAAGAACCAAAAAGCCAGCTGAGCCTTAACATTCTTAACATTTTAAGAAAGTAAGCACTGCACTATCACCTCGGCCTTTTGGCAAAGATCAAGTGTAGAACTACACTGAGGGGCCCTGGTGGCTGAGTGGTTATGTAGTGGGCTGTTCACTTCAAGGTCAGCTCTTTAACACCAGCCGCTTCCTTGGGAGAAAGATGGGGCTTTCTACCCTGTAAAGAGTTAGAGTCTGGGAAACCCACCGGGGCAGTCCCACCCTGTCCTATAGGGCACTGTGGGTCGGCATCAGCTCAATGGCTACAAGTTTGCTTTTTCTCTTTGAAAGACTTGCACTAAAAATAGAAAAGTCTTAATTATTAATAAACAGCACTGGACTGCTGTAGTCAAGAGACCCAGATTCTAGATTGGGCTCTAGAATCTAAGCTGCTTAACTTCTCTGCATGACAGCCATAAGACAGGGAGAGTAGTAACAGTGGCCCACGTATACACGCACACAACTACTGGTTGAGTGGGCCCATTCAGGGAATGCGTGTGGCTGCCTGAGGACCCTGTGACCCCACGTGAGTGGAAGAGAGTACACAGTATGCAGACCCTAGTATCCTCTCCCTCTTGTCACTTGGGACTAGGATTATGGGAACAGCTTCCAGGAGGCTGTGCTATCATCTCCCCTGCTCCAATGCCCTCACAGGCCCCTGCTAGAATAGCTTTCAACAATTCCCGTGCTAACGTCACTGCACTATTGAAGCAGCCGTGGGTCAAATTTCTCTTGCCTGGCAATACAAGCCTCCTCATGTGCACCCATCTCCTCGTGATTCTGGAGCGTGCACGGCTCCCTCAGTGCCCCCTGCAACCTAGGTCTTTTGTTTCTCAGTGGGCCCCGAATCTCCGCTTCATCATGTGCACAGCCCACCCCCCACCCCTACCGGATAGCCTGCTCTGAGGCGGCCACGCCACCCTGTAGTGCTCTCGTCACTGTTCATTCTTCCTTCCTCAGCTCGCCATAGCCATGCCCACCCAAGCCTCGAAGCCTGGATTTTACTGGGTGCTATTCCCGCGTTGTGGCATTGGGTGCCACGGAGTTACTGTTTTAATACAGTGACCCTCCCTCGGGAGGGGCAGAACTCCTCACAGACACCCCCCCCGCCCCAGGCCACTGTCAGCCTGGGAACCGCTTGCCATGTCTTTTCTGCCCTGGAGCTTTGTGGGCTCCTTTGAAATGCCACCCTTGCAGGTGGCAACCCAGTGCTTCACTGCGGTCCCAGCAAAGTTCCTTGCTATTCATACATTACCC